AGTCTTTGGAATCTTGGTTGATCAAAACATTAAAAACACAATTGTTCTCTCGCGTCTGCGTGTCGATCGGCCGTTAATTATTATAGTTTTCACTTAAGTCTTGCTCAGCTTCGTAAGTCTAGCACCACACGATATGTTCTGTGTTTATCTGATCTTTACAATGTATGCTGCAAAAACTGCTGCTCAAAACGTCGATGATGCCTTGGCTGATAGTATCACAGTGATTTTTTGCTCAGTCGCTTATGGAGCAAGTTTGCTTACGAAATAGCGTTTTGTTTATGCAATTTGTTTTTCTAGGGACGATTCTATCTATTCATGTTTTCCTCATCCCGTTTTCATCATCTGGTAAAAGATCGATTATTATGGTGGCGACGAAGACAAAGAGTTGTTCCATCGACAAACTAATGTTCAAAGTGTTTGATTGTGTGAAGTTAGAAGGAAACTCGTACATTTCGGATGGAGTAACCAAAACAGTTAATATTTCTATACGTTTTATTATTAGTAAACTGACAATTAGGTCATGTTACAAGGCGCTTTCAAATTAAATATTTATTGATTTTGCACTAATACTTGAATTCTTCTGAATTACTTAACTTGTATAATTATTTACGTCAACAGATGGCTCTAATACGTATTCATGTATACTTACATAATTGTATGCCTTCTAATTGTCAGTCATTTCTTTTTTTTTAAATTTCAAACCTTTTTGTAATAGGAAAAATCAAAATCTAGATTCTTTATAAATGTGGGCTCTGACGATATGAGAATCTGATTCAAAACAAAACCTTAATAAAAAAAACGATGAATTGAAAATGATTTTTCTTTGGGATGATAATGTAAATACCTAATTAGATGTGACATTTTCTTGTGTGATATAACTGAATAGTTAGCAAGAAAATGTCAGTTCCTTTAAATTTGTTAATACGAGCGAGAAAAAAAGAGCTTATGTTTTGTTTATGGATTCAATATCTTTTAAGTGCAAGTAGTTTTGAAAGATTTTTATTTTTAATATTCAAAACGAAAACAACAAGAGTTGCCTATCGACTAGACTAATGTATTGAATGTAGTTGAATTTAAAAAGCGAAAGATTTTAACAAACATCAAATATGAAAATAGTCAGCGAAGCTCTCCATTGATGTGCACTTACATAGGACACAATACATCGAAGTGAATAAATTGAGAAATATAATTTTCATCTTTTTAAAGGAAATTTATTATGCATATAATTTGTAGTACCATAACTCGCTATAGAAAACACGATACCGAGAAATATATAATATGTAAAAGGGAACTACTGAGCTCCACGACAAATTAATATTTTTTGTAATTTTACTATACATATCACCATAGTGAGTGATATAATTTCATGGGAACTTCTCAACTCGATCAAATTCATCTTTTGTTAACTGAAATACTTTAACGAAATTAAAAATTAGAGAACATCGATATTCAAACTTCATAGTTTTCAAAATAGCCAATTTCCTAAATACATGCTGGCATTTCTTGAGCAGGACACAAAAATAGATGTATGAAAGTGCAATTCCACAATCATGAATCCAGCTGATATTCTCTTTGGCTGAGGTTGATACCCATTTAGATCGATTCAAAAGTTTAGAATATCTTGCAAATAATTGCATAACGTTTTCAGCTTATGCCAGATCAAAATTAATCGTGTTCTACATTATCATGTCATCTTAATTGCTACTCAAATCACATAGAGAATTCTTTTTATAACTATGACTTTTATTTAAAATATAAATGTACAATCAATTAAGGCCAAGCGAAGATTAATAAGAAAGCCAAAACTATGTCACAATTCTCGCACATAATATAGCACTATTTATTATTGGTCTACTTTTTGCTATGTGCAAGTAATCAAAATGAAAATGCTTGAAATCAAAACATATGGCTGTAGGGTGAGATATGGTCCCTTATTGTACCAATAATTACCACCAGTTGCATACCATCCTTGATTCCCTGGTGAATAGGCATTATAGGGTTTATTATAGTAATTATTCATATTTGGTCTCTGCCATGCGTAATTATTATTGTATAAATATTGCTGCTGTTGTAATTGTTGCATTGATAGTGGTCGATTTGAATTAATAAGATAACTACTTAGACTAGAATCCGGATCGTAACTTATTGGTAAAATAGCAGAGTGTGGACGATTTTCAGGTTTTATGAATGATCCATAGTTCGGATCAGATCCGACACCTAAAAATAAAGCGTAATGAAATGTTAATTAAAAATAAGTTCTTTCGAATAAATATCAGCACCATAATAATAAGTGCCTGGAATAGAACCAGCAGGATGACTTGCCCAACTCGTTCGTTGGTCAACAGCGAAAAAATTGTTTTTCGGTTGATTCAGTTGACGACGATAACGAGGAAATCCACGTGCTAAAAATATCGGAAGTCATATAATATAATACATTTGTGTTTTATTTCATATTTTACTTTTTGTTGTAAAAATTAAAGTCACAACAAATAGTAAACATACATTCGAGAACATTTTTTTTTAGTTGTGTGCTAATCAACACTGACAACAAGATCAGATTGTTTTATTATGACGTTTGTTTGCGAGTGTGTTAATGGAAAAAAATATCCCAAATATAGTTCTACTCCTTCGCTTCTTCTATTTCTTTCGGATCCTACACATATACTATTCTCTCTCTCTCTCTCTCTGTTTCTGTATATATATGTACTATTCTAATTTACTAAACACTATTGTTGATTAGTAGTAAGAAAAACAGGAGAAAAGGTTAGCACAAAATAATATAACGAAAGTATTGTCGCATTTCATCCAAAAATAGAATAATTGATACATCCAACATAATCATGTGTTGCTAATGTCGTCTTTCACCCCTGTCATATGAAAATATGCTTTGTCCTATTGGGATTTTTTTTTCATTAGACAGAGGAATCAATAGATATTATTTTTGTTTTCCTATTACAATTTACTTCTTATAGGAAAAATCTCGTGTACACGATTTACTGTCCATTGATTGAATAACTTTTTTTCCAATTAGCGTTTTTCTCGTTTGCGGATTTACTGTCCACTAATTGCTTCGAAGAAGAGAAATTAATAAATGAGTAATGGTCTTGACAGTCAATCCTTTTTCTGAACAAAAAATTACATAAATGTTGAAAAACAAAAAAGTCACCAATGAGCAAACTATTGAATAAATTTTCAATTTAAAATGACGGATGCTCATCAAATTGAGGGGTAAGATAGTCATTACCCATGTCGTCCTTTTTTTCTAGTAACGTCGCAATAACGCCAAAATGGCTTATTGCGGTATTATTCTGTACTATAGCGACAATAATCATCGTAATATGTCCAAACGTTCTTCGCATCGATATAACGCTAACGCGCAATATCGGTGCTATTTACGTATGTAACGAACAACTTGATTAGAGTAGCTTGTGCCACTCTCGGCAATGGTTTTTATTAGGCTACTTCAAGTTATCCAAAGTGTAACGACAAAACTAGAGTGTTGCCTATGTCCGTCGGCATGATGGTGTATTGTGTCATCTGACATCTCCAGAGTGTCACAACTTCAAACATAACGCACGTATACATAGGAGAAAGATAGAAGACAGACAGGAGAGAGATACATTAGAACAATGGAAAGAGAACAGAAAGAGAAGGAAGAAGAATCATCGAAGCGTGACATCAATATCGGCACAGCGTACTATACAAATTCTCTGTTTTCATTCAAAACGTATATGTGTAATAATCATAGGGAGAATGATATAATTGTTCGAAATATTCTATGATTCATTGTATGTGCATATTAAATTATTGAAGATATAAAAGACAGGTCTGATTTATTCTTACAAGTGTACATTTGATTTTTTTTCTTTTAGATTAAATGTATAAATTTTCACATAAAGTAAATAAGAGACATCTTAATCGAGAGATTAGGCGTCAGTCTCTTTATCTATTAATCGCTCGACATCTTAGTCTTTTGAGCGAAAACTCTGGTGATGATAACAGTGACGACAACTTGCAACGAAAAGGTATTAATATAAATAGGCTTGGTTCATCATTTGACAAGAAAAATGATGGTAATTATATATCACCTGTGTCATCGAATGTTTATGTTCTAGATGATAATGAACGAAATGATGATGAAGATAATAATTATTGGAATGTTGATGAAGTTGATAATCAACAGAATAGTGATGAAAATGATGGTCGATAGAATGATGAAGACAACGATGATGAAGGTAATAGTGAATAATGAATGTAAGGGAAGTTAGCGACAGATTCGAGCTTTTCCTGAAACAATTCGTCCCATCAATCGTGCCACTTCTTGAACGTAGCGTGCCAGATAGAACTCGATGAGCTCTATCTAATGCTATGTTCAAAAATTACGATAGCATGAAAGCTGAAAAAACATCTATCAAAATATGATTCATCATCATGGGACAAAATGTACACTTTTTATATTTCCTGAATATATTCGATTCGTCGCGCGTGTCGCTTTTGAAACTTATGCCATTCGACGCAGCTTGATGAGTTCTATCTAACACAGTATTCAAACCTACCATCTTTAAAACCCATGAGCCTAAAATATTCAACACACCTGTGAAATTCGGGAATTTTCTGATACTTCATCTACCGATTCGCCCTGTAACCTGTGCCAACGCCAAAACCTAATTGATTCAACTCAAATTGACGAGCTCTATCGATTGATGCGTCCTTTGATACGCACAACAGTACTAAAAGAGCAAGAACATTCGTAAATTCAGTCATGCTACATTTATCGCAAACATTATCTTTCACAGATTCGATCCAAAATACATGCCACTGAGAAAGCCTACCCCATTCAATGAACTTCAATAGGAGGTATCGATTGATGTATAATTTCACATGGTAACTTATAATAAATGAGTCTTGGGATCCGAATTATGTTGTTGCCATATAATTAAAGTAACGTTTTTTTCTTTCACGATTCACCTGACTATGCGTGTCAATGATAATTTATATCTCACTCGATGCAGCTCGGTGAGCTCTATCGATTGGTGTATGACTTGACATGGTTAGCATAGCTATATCACCAAGAGTCCCAAACTACTAATAAACACACATAAAAAATAGTTATTTTCATGATCGATTCGTCTGACTATGTGTGCCAATGATGATTTATATATCATTAGAAGCAGCTTGATGAGCTCTATCGATTTATATATGACTTGATATGATTAGCATTATTATATCACCAAGAGGTCCCACATATTAATTAAACTACCGCAAAAAATAATTCGTTTCGTGAGCGATTCGTTTTGCTTGGCGTGCCAATGATGATGCTTACATCATTCGACGCAGTTCAATGAATTCTACCGATTGATGTATCATTTCCCGTGATTTGCACTATAGGATCAACGTCAGTACGCCAACAATTAGTGATGTAGCATAGGATACAGTTGTTTTTGTAGATTTGCGTAACTAGATGTCCTTATAATGCTGTGTGTAGCGTTCGTTAGATCAGGATCAGTCGTTTCAATAGATGTTCGATTTATTATGGTTAGCACTACTGCAGCAACAAAAGCGCTCCAAATACTAATTGTCTCACATACGCAATAATTAGTTTAGTGAGCTACTCATTTACCGAGGTATGCTGATCGTGATCTTGAGCGCCATCAATTTATGTATCGCTCAACACAATTAGCCCTGATACATTTAAGACAAGAATCCAAGTATTTATGATATAGGTTCAAAAAGAATACAAGGTTGGAAAGCTCTATACAAATATTTTGTTCTTTGCAGAGACTAGATTCCAGTATAAACACTCTTACTCGTGACATTTTCGTGGCATTCAAAAATGAATTCGCACTTAAAAATAATTCGAGGATTAATCGTAACTCTTTCGTATGTTGACGTTGAAGAAAGGATAATTGGAGAACAGCATCAACTGCCTATCTTATTCATTCTGACATTGCTGTAAACTAACAGAAGATTCGTTTAACCTCCTTCTCACTTTAGTTTTCTATTCTTCATTAATTTCATTTCCCTTTTATATTTTAAATTCAGATGATTATGATTCCATTTTTGTTTTCATTCTTCACAGAAAAATCCAAATATACCTTAAGCAAACTGCTACATTACTGAGCGAATATCTAAACACTGATTCGGTCACTTAGCGTCTGAATAGAGTTACCAAGCCACACTACTATAACTTAATTACTCACAAACTGACTATACGGATGCTATCAATTATTTAGTATACTTCACAACAGCATAGGGTAGTTCATGGATGTAATTGACAGAGTTGTATTCCATGAGACACATCATATTGCAAGCAACCAGAAAAGCAAATCGTTATATAGCAAATGATTTTCAATTTGACATTTCAAGAATCTGGTCTAATGCTGTTGGTTTCTAATTATAAATTTTATCAAAGCGGGTGTCTATTGGAACACACAATGGAGATCAACAAAACGCGGTATGTACCAAGACTGTTATACTTCTTGCAATACCCCTTCTTAAAAGATGTGCCATTGCAAATCTAGCATGAATCCTCTTCTGAAACTAGTTTATCGTGTAGCAATGCGAATCAAAAGATTGATACATTCATCGATACGGCTCCTTACAGTGAATTGCAGCGATATTTGTCAAGACTGGTACACCTGTTCTATTGAATATTGCTAAATTGCATTTCCTTGAAACACTTATATAATCGACATTTCACCTATTATTGTAGATATATGATGGCTGATCAAGTTGAATGATACATCAACTGATAGAACACAGACAGCTGCATTGCTTGAGCTATTAATCATCAGTTGTATGCCTGGTCAACTGCAATTATCTCATAGGGATGATTTTGTATGTAACATAATTCTTTCGGGTTATTGTTGATGTAGTAGTCTTCATCACATCCAGGCATACACCAATCAATACAACCCACCGAAGAGCATATAATGAGGTTAGATTCAACACTGGCACGCATAGTGAAGCGAGTCGCTAACGAAAATAAGTTTTTTTTTATGTAAGTTAATTCATATTCGGGGGCTCTTGTTGGTATGGCGACGCTAATTATACCAAACGATACATCAATCGATAGAATTCATCTAGCTGCGCCGAATGATGTATCTATCAACATTGGCACTTTTACTCAAGTGAATCATTCACAAAACTAAGTACTGTCAACATCATATACTTGATGTATAGGTGCTGTTGCTGGCACAGTATTGTTAATCATGCCAAATCATGTATCAAACGATAGAACTCGCTGAGCTGCATCGATTGACATATGTATCATCATTGGCACTCCCAACAAAGCAAATTACTCAGGAAAATAATAATTTTTTTATGTAGATTAGTTAATATTTGAGGGCTGGTGTTGGTATAGTAATGCTAATCATATCAAGCCATATACCAATCGATAGAACTCACAGAGTTGCATCGAGTGAGATATAAATTGTGATTGGCACACGTACTCAAGTGAATCCCCACGGAAAAGAGAAATTGGTTCAATTGTGCAATAGCAGCATAATTCTGGTTACATAACTCATTTATCATAAGTTATCATATGAAATTATACATCAATCGGTAGGTCTTATTAAGCTGCGCCAACTGTAATTGCGTTTGTGAGTGGCACGTGTTTTGGATCGAATCTGTAAAAGATAATGCTTGCGATAAATGTAGCATGACTGAATTTAGGAATATTGTTGCTCTTTTAGTACTGTTCTGTATATCAAAGGACATATCAATCGATAGAGCTCGTCGATCTGAGTCGACTCAATTGGTTTTGGGCGTTGGCACACGTTATTGGGCGAATCGGTAGATGAAATATCACAAAATTCCCGAGTTTCACAGGTGTGTTGAATATTTTAGGCTCATGAGTTTTTAAGATGGTAGGTTTGAATACTGTATTAGATAGAACTCATCGAGCTGCATCGAATGTGATAAGTTTCAAAAGTGGCACGCGCAACGAATCGAATATATTCAGGAAATACAAAAAGTGTACATTTTGTCCCATGGTGATGAATCATATTTTGATAGATGTTTTTTCTGCTTTCATGCTATCGTAATTTTTGAACATAGCATTAGATAGAGCTCATCGAGTTCTATCTGGCACGCTATGTTCAACAAGTGGCACGATTGATGGGATGAATCGTCCCAGGAAAAACTCGAATCTGTCGCTAACTTCCCTTACATGGTATATACGGTATTTTTTCCCATAGAGTGTCATTAATCATAGCTTTTTGTAAATCAATGAGAATCAAATCGTCGTAGTGCAGTTTTTTGTTATCAGTAATTGAAATAAATTCGTTGGTACCATTTGTAATGCTTGGTAAGAAGAAATTCTCACAGCTCCATGCTGTTGATTTGTCTATGGTGATAAATGCAATTGGTGGGATAGTTAATTCATTATTTGATGTTATCGGATGTTCACCTTGTTCCAGCTGTGTTATACGGTGACATTTTGTTTCATTTCTTGTTGATATCGCCCATTGTTGGCCGACTCTTTGTATAAATATTGGTTCTAGTTCATATTCAAAACGGCATAATGTTAAATTTGAGTTAGTTAATATTTCAAATAAACGGGTCTGTTGCCAATTTTTATTGATTGGTAGTGTTTCTCGGCATGAGGACATTGATGTAAATTGGCATGTATTGCTTTCTTCTTTCGTTCATTGTATCAATTCCATTGTTTTTGTTGAGATACCGATAATGTGAGGTATCTGCGCCAGTTTTAATCTTTGAGTTCCTTGATTAAAAGGAACCGGTGTCAACTTGTAAGTTGAGAATGATGGTTGATTTTTGTTAGCCGCTGCAAAGAATGATATAAATAATAGATTACCGATAGCGCCGCCAGCTGTCTGCTCCTTTGTATTGGTTGAAACGAAGTCAATTCGTTGTTGTATCAATAATCGATTAATCAGTTCGAACGTTGGAAGCGCATCATCTATTTCTTCCATATTTGTATTTACCTGTTTTGTAATCATTTTTATCACTAGAGGTAAATCACAATGATCGATAAATCGTAGGTTGAGTTTATTGGCCAAAATATCTTCAATTGACTCGTGAATAAAGTGAGTTTCTACTGCGTGAGTGAATAATGTTAGTTCTTTCTTGAGCATCTTCATCATCATTGACACTAGTGTATTAATAGCTATTCGATATTGTGTAAGTACATGAGAATGTTCATTCACCAAAACAATCGTATTATTCGGGGCGGTTTGCATATGAATTAGCTCTTCCACAATTGTAATTTTGCTCTTAGTTAATTGGAACGTCTACTATTGTGACTGTTGATTGCATTTTGTATTGAATCGATGAACGTTATGATTGCTTTTATCTCCTTTTGAAGATTGTGTATTTGTACTCTGAAAAAAAGGTGTTATATGGAACCATTCTAGACAAGATACTGAACCTTTTAAGGTTTCACTCGCTCACTAATAAATCACAGAGGGTTCTAGCTAGTTTAAAGAACCATCTCAAATCCTCAATAGTTCCGGACGTTTGAATAGGTTCCGTCCTGCACCATTTTTCCAAATATGGTTCTGGTTTGAAGCAAGATACTATATTTTCGGAACGTGATTGAAGTAATATAAATCTCAAATAGACTATTAAGATCGCGGAATCCGAATCCATCATCGTTTTTTCGATCCAGGGATACGATAGTTGAATGATAGACCTAGGTAGTTGTGTCTCCGAAATCAATTCAATAGTTAGTGGCATCTTCTCAAGTGTGATTATTCTTTTATCTTTTTCGACATGTCACATGTATGAATAGATAGGCAATGTCAATCTGATAAAATGAATTCAAGACTTTCTGTAGTTAGGTACAGTCGAACCCGCCTATAAGAGCTCCGTATAAAAGAGCGTTACGCTTTTAAGAGCCGTTTTTCAATTCCCCGTTTTTTCGTAATGTATTTTACATTGTGGCAAAGTCCGCTTGTAAGAGCCTCGGATACAAGAGCTATCCGCTTATAAGAGCGCTGTTTTGACGCTTTTTCGCGATTTCAGTCCGCATAAAAGAGCTTTTTTACCTATATGATTATAAATATGCAGTTATGTTCTTCTTCTTTTCCTTTCCTGTCATATATATGTGATGAATTTTTCCTTTCCCTCGTTCTATATATTTTTCCCCATTTTTCGTTGAATCTTTACTTTTCAAACAATGGCATCTAACAGCGGTAAACGTTGCACATTATCGATTGAACAAAAATTGAAAATCTTAGAAGCACTGAAATCCAAAAAGGCAGACGATGCGGCTAAACATTTCAACATCGGCTATTCTATGGTGAAGAAGATAAGGCAAAACGAAGAAGAAGTCGGAATTGTTGATAAATCGATGCCAGGTGTCTCTCATAAAGATGGGCTGATGCATCTTTCGATGGTTCGCAAGTATTTGGAAGAGAATTTTACAGATTACAATTCATATTATGATGTTGAATATATGATCGAAAAGAACGCTTTAATTAATCGTACTCAACGTAAAATCACGGATTTCTTTAAGTAAATTTATGTATGTGTGTGTAGTATTTAATAAATGTTGACAAGAATCATCTTTTACACTGTTTTGCATATAGTTTGCATAAAAGAGCGACCCGGATATAAGAGCCACTTTTTGATTCCCCGATTGCGCTCTTATAAGCGGATTCGACTGTATGTATGAATAATCAATTCAAATGCAAGTTTAATATGATAAAATCAATTAGTGTTTTCTTTTATATTTTAGGTATATGTGAATAATTCATTTAATGGCAAGTTGAATCTTACAATATAATGGTGAATGTGGGTGTGACTGTATTGTTAACTCAGCCGCATCCACATCCACACCTTCACCCACACCCTCAAATAGTACTTTTTAATACTATATGGCAATAGTGAAGTTAAGTGCATATAATCTGCTACACAGCTCAAGCTATGCTCCGAAAACTTTCGATCAGCTTGATAACGGAGTGAAGAAAAAGACCGATTCAGGAGAGCTATGATCGAAATATTCCATTTTAGTAAAGTTACAACTCAAATTGGTCTATGAACTAGTTATTTAACATTTTTTTTAGTATGCCCGTGAATGTGACACTCGGGAGTGCTTACATAAGAAAAAGAGAAATATAAATGCACAAGCGAAAAGCTGCATCATTAAAGCAAAGTGTTACAATTTGTATCAACAGTATATTATGCTGCGCACCAACTTTTGCTTGTAGGAATGTTTAGAGAGTAAATAAATGAAAAATCGATTAAAAAGGTGAAAAAAGAAGAACAAACTAAAAGAACGAACGACAGAGAAAAAAGTGGAAGAAGAAATCTGCGTAAAACATAACATTTATGCATATTTCTGTGATATTATTCGTATCAACAAAAGGCAACCACGTTAAAAGGAACGATTCGTGTCGATCTTGCAATTGTCGCACACAGCCTGTGCGGAAAAAATGGCCAAGGTGATCGTTTTTCCTTTTACAAAAATGATCCCAGCCAAATATATCTTCATAGAAGGCTGAAGAACCAAGATCAGTTATGAACATGGTTCTCAATCTTCGTTGAATATATTTTTAACGTAAAATTGTAAGGGCTGTTCAGAAGTGACTTTCAACAGATTATGCGCAGAAATGAAGGGGCAGCGATGCACCAACCGAAGACCAATGCGGAATTTTTGTTCTAATACATGTTGTTGAGATACTGGGAGGAGAGGGAAAAGTGTACGCGAAGAAACATTGACGAAGAGTTTTGCATGACATTTTGCGACCAGACCATCGATTTCAGTTTTCCTAGCGATCTCTGAATATTTCCTATGGTTGTATCGTTCAAGTAAATCCTAGGTTTTTGAATTCTTTGACTAGCTCGATTTTATTTCCGTTTATTGTTACGTTTACGATCGGCCTTTTAACTTGTGCATGAAATAATTATAATACAGTTTTAGAAACATTTAACGACTGCTTCCACTTTTTTGAGTACATAAAAACCTGATTGCAAACTCTTGTACCTTCGTTTTCTAACTGGTCAATCATCGAGCCTAATTTTTTCATTGTTGGAGATTTAATTAATAGACACAGGTCATCTCCAAATAAATGGCATGAATGTGCTCCTAGATAATTTGTCAGATCTGCGTGAAACACTATAAGCAAATACGGACTAAGACTACTATCCTGCGGCAGTCCTATATTTATATGAAATTATTTTCAAAGTTATTTCACCATATTCTACGTAAGCTTTTTTATCTTTTAACCAACTATTAGTCATCTTCAATAAGTTGAAAGACATACCCATTGCTTCTAGTTTACAAACATATAGTGCAAGCGTCAGAATATTAGCTACCATGTTGTTTTTCGCTTCCTGATATATCGAAAGTACTGGAGTTGGTAGAAGACATTTTGGGCGAAAACCAGACTGTTCTGGCGTTACTAAACGATTTGTTGCAGCCCAGTGTCTAATTCTTAGTAAGAGCAGTTTTTCGAACAGTTTTGAGTGTGTAGCTAACAAAGAAATTGGACAGATTTTTTCACACTTTAGGATGCTCGATTTCAATTTATTTCGAGTAATGATTTTTGCAATTTTCCAGTCATCTGGATAACGACACTCGATGTAGGTTGGTGGAAGTTTTTTAATTATAACGTTTGACACGGAGTCAAAGCCTGTTGATTTCTTAGGCTTTAAGATTTTAATTATACAAGTAATTTCAGCAGTGCTAGTTTTTTCTATGTTATCATTCAATGCTGATAATCTATTTACCAACTCTTTATATTTCCTATTTATCTGACCTTCGTGTTCATTACAGTAATTCACTGCAGGTACTTTTAACTGTTCACTGTAGTACTGGAATAATTCGTTTGTGATTCCTTCTTGTTTTGATACTATTTTAGTGCCCTTCGATAGTTTATAGAAAGGCAGCGAACGCGATTTGTATATGCGAGATAAGTGTGTCCGAAACGCTTTATCTGATTTATCGAACGACATTTGAATGTTAGATAAAAACTTTTGCCATTGAGCATTTTTATGTTTTGGTATGTCAACTTTTGATTCTCTTGTCATAGTGTGTAAAAGCACCCCCGTTTTCTCAGCAGTGAGCAGATTTCCAAAAATGGAAATTTCCTAGCTAAATATGCATGTTTCAGAAACTAAAGGGATGAAAAATTCAAGTTTTAGAAAATATCAGCAACTTTCATAATTACCCCAATATTATTCACCATAAGCCAAAACCAACACAAAGTAATTTCCAAATAATGGCGGAAAGTAATCGAGAATCTACTGTTTGTTTTGGTTCTGATTTGCTACCATATTGTTAGTTATTTCAGAAATTACCGGAAAATTTATTTTTGTATGTGAAGGTGATTTCAGAAATTCTCAGGATATTTTGTTGGGTGGTATTTGAAATGATGGTATTTTCTGATAACTTTCTTTTGCACGCGATGCAATTACGGAAGTTTGAAGGAAATTTCTGTTGGCACTCGCGTGTGTCGTTTATTAGTGTGACAGAAAATGTTTTTCGGAAATCTGAACATGCCTCGGATCCATTAGGCTCGAAGGATTTGCTTTTCTCCCTTGTGTTTGCTCCTACATGTAGATGAATAAATAAAAAGAAATCTAATTATGGATCGGCAATGACGACCTTCAGAAGAATAAGAGTACAGTTGTTCGTTTTCACCTTCATCGTATCGAGAAGGAAAACAGTGTTCTTTTTATTTGAAAGACGACGATATTATCTTCTTCACCGAGCACATGTTAAAATACAAACCGAGAACAAAAAGAAGATTGCAACCTTATCATAAATAAAATTATCATCCTATATAAGGTGAGCGAGTGATAATGATAACAGTACTTCTTCAGATTCTCAGTTAAACAAGTTCTGTCTTTTACTCAAGAGACATTCAATGTCGTCCGAACAAGATACGATTGTGCAACAAGCAGTGGAACATCTTATTTGCCCATCAGAAGGATCTATACGTATTGCTACAAAAGCTGATGCAGAAAGTCTCTTTCTCCTGATTAATAAGGCATTTTTTCAAATTATTCGCAGGTTTAAGCGGGAAGCTTTTCAAAATCGTATGGAGACCGTCGATGAGGTACATAAACTAATGGAGAAAGGTATTTTTCTTATTCTCACTGCAACTGATCATGAGCAATCGATAATTCTCAATGATGGATGTTTCATAGTTGCATGTATCTTTATGAATCATGCAGCTTTCGGTGAGCTACCTGTGGAAATAGTTGATGCCAAATTATCCCTCAAAATCAACTTGCTGGCTGTACATCCAGGAATGGTCAGACGAGGCATTGGTCAATACATGATGCAAGCTGTCGAGAGCATGGCCAAAATATTTCGATATACGCATGTTTTTCTTCCAGTAGTTTCTGTAAACAAGCATTTAGTTCATATGTACACCAAGTGGGGCTTCAAAATCATTGACACAAAAACATTGGCTGACTGTGGCATTGATGCAGAAAAATTCTCGGTTCCTTGTCATATGATTATGATGGAGAAGGAGTTATTATAACGAATAAAAACGATCTCTTTTGTGAACTCGAATAGAATAACAGAGAAATGGTTAGAAAATCTCATCATTTCAAGAATAATATACCTAAACTGACTAATTATCATTTGGATATGAAAGAAAAATTTCCCCATGTCAACAGTGATATTATCATTTCTTACCCATCTATTAACTTTAGGCCATTGTTGATCTTTGAACGAGCTAGCTCGTGTGTTTCAGTAATAACTAATTTAAACGCAGTGGTGTGCTTTCTGGATATTTAGTGGTGGATCTTCTGTAAAACGTGTACAATTTGAATCGTTTAATAGTTCACACATACTATATTGATCTGAGATGGATGCAAATGGAAACATATTCATTGTTTATCATTTACCGATACTCAAAATTGAGAGTGAGAGTCGAGTTAAATCAACCGAAAACAGATCAATCTATCTCGTCTAACGAAAATATAAATTCAAATTGTTAGTCTCACGTTAGAAATATGCAGAGTATGTTATCAGTAGAACACAAATGATTACTTGACACTATGGTCTCACAGTAAATGTGTCGCTTTAAAATTAAAAGATCCAGTGGGCACTATCAACTGAAATGGTAAATATATTTTAATTGGAAATTATAGTGTTATAATCACTGAAAATACAGTTTCTTATACACTCTGTACAATGTTTTATAATTTTCAATTAAATATGAAGATCATTGTAGAGTGAAATCTCTCAAACCTAAACATATATCTACTCATCCTCACACTCGTTAGCCAACCAAAAATTGATTAGTTTAGGCGTCAAGAATCCGATTCATTGTGATGTCGTATTTATCTTTCCACATTTTCATAATATCGAAATTGAAGAAAATGAATTCTATACAAAAAATGATCTGTGATTGGATAGATTCTATATATAGATTGCAATTAAATAAGTAGAAATAAATTTTGGCTTTCAAATCTTTCGAATTGTGAAATTTCTTGCGTATTTGGTCTCCCTTCTTCTTTTAATAATATGAATTTTATTTTTCATAAGAAAGACTACGGAAATAACGAATTAACACTGATTTTTGTACTTCTGCGATCGAGTCATTGTGTTATTTCGTTTCATACTTTTTTACGCATAGGAAACCGACAGAAAAAAAATTGGCAAATATGTACTATGACCATCAGTAGCATTAAGAAACATGTCAGTTTCGCTCTCTCTCTCTATTATACCGTTATCTATAATTCTCAATATTCTTCCCATGAAAAAGTAAGTCGTATGAAACAGCGTTTTAACGCAAACTTTTAGAAGAAAACGCTGGTTTATCGTTTTAGCGCATCGTTTTCTCTCTCTAAGGCATTCAAACGCATGGTTTTGTGTATGTAACACGTTGAAATGCATTCTTTTTTATTTAAAACGGTTTTTTACAACTTAAAATACGACTTTAAAGCATTGTTGAAAAGCATTTTTTTTTGTACACATTTATATCGTTTAATTTGCTTTGTTTCTCAGTGAGTTTTTATCCACGAGTTTTTTTGCTTAAAAAACCTTTTCTTGTAGACGCTCGAGAATACATATTTTAATCTATATTTTTTAACTATACAATGTTTACATAAAACACTAGTGCTCTTTGTTTCCCTCCTGATAACTGAAATATTTAAATTTAATTGCTATTTAGAATTTTTCTTCAGTATCTCATCAAATGAAAATGTAACTAAATGACTCGCTAATTTCCTACTATATCGAAAATTGGAATATTGAAACAGCTGAAAGCAAAAATCACTGAAAAAGTCACAATTAATATTGTGAAAAGACTAGGATTGAGCCATTCATATTTGAAAAAAAACTATTAGGCCCCAAAAAAAATGATTTCAAAAATGTTTTTTTCAAATAATTAAAATTTTTTTGTATAGAACTATTTAAATTTATTTTAAAAGTCGCTTCTCGAAATTTAAATTTACTTTGAGTTTAAAATGAATAAATTAACAATGTATCCTTCAATTCAATACATATAGACATTGCAGTTCTATTCTGATATCGGTAAGTTTAACTCAATAGTATCAGGTAAATGAAATCGAAAGTTCCTAGTTCGAATCTGTTCTACACCGGAATGAAAAAAAAATAATAGAAACGCGTTCAAAGAACGATCGTTTCGGTTCTGGTAAAATGCGCTCTCCGTAAAGCTATCGTAATTACATTTGTGCGTTATCCATCGAAAAGAAAGCGTTTCAATGCGTTCGAAAAAGTGCGTTTTAAGTCTAGCGAAAACATGTGAACAAAAAAAAGAACGCGTTCAAACGCAGATTTCAGTGAAATTTTTTTTTCGTGGGAAGCATCGAAATAAAACATTTCGCGTAAAAGCAACAAGAAATGAAACATTGTCTACGATTTGTCTTAAATGAAAACAAATTAATCGAAAAAACTATCATTTGTACTGTCCCTGTATTTGACTCAATAATGCTATCAGATGAAAGAAACTATTTTGGTAAAGACTTTAACTTCAACTGAAATATGGATAAATCCTGGATTTCACTGAGCACAGTGCCAAGGATTCATCACATGCTTTCCACTCAACTTAGTTTTTTTTTATATTCTTAAAATAATTTTGATTTGAAAACGAATCTTCGCTCTCAAAGCTATCTGAAGTGAACATTAAAGAAAGTGATTCCTACGATAAAGTGATCCTTATTTATCACAGTGTTTGAGAGTTTACTTCATGATACTCATTTTAAAAAAAAACAGATTTTTCATCGAGAGAACAGAAATTCATTTTCAGACACTTCAGTTATTAGTGTTGAATATGAATCCTTTTTGAAATTTTTTCACACAATCATTATTCGATCTAAAGGGATAATGACTCATATTAGTTTTACAATTCCTGTTGCAAATATCAGAGAGTATGATACTAGCTATTGGGATCGCTCTTTAACAATTGAACTTGGTGTTGACTGATGCGTGACCACCGATTCAATTGTTTACTTCATATATTGCAAATAATTAATCAGTTATTTTGTGAATTTTCATCGTCACATCGATTCGTGATGTTAAAAACGTGCCACAACTGTCAAACAACTAGATTTTGCAGCAACTTTGAGTCAAAATAATCTTGTCACTCGCTTAACACAACTTCTATAAAAGAATCGAATACCATACCCAAAAACAAAGCTTTCTGAAACTAGAACTTAGCATTATGAATTGGTTTAGCTTAACAGGTATAGCTGCCTATTTTCAATCAAACTATAGGATTGTAACCTTTCTATTGACAATTTCAGAAATTTGAGGTTTGAACGTAGCATAATAAACCCTTTTGATAACCTCGTATACTGGTATACCTTCAACGATATTATAATAAACGCTTTTCCAGAAAGTGAAGAATAATCAACCCTTTTTGTGACATCGTACATTGATCTACCCTCAACGGTATTATAATAAACGCTTCTGCCGAGAATATAGAATAATCAACCCCTAGCCGTAGAATAAGATTTGTTTTGCATGAATCGTATAATAATCTACCCCTGATTGTTGTATAATAAACTGATTTTGGAAATACGCATATTAATCTACACCTATCCGTTTATTAATAAACACTTTGAATAAAATTACGAAATAAAAAACCCTTAAAACAGTTTCATATACCCTTTTTAAATTCATATACCCTTACGATAACAAACCCTTCGGCTCATATACCTTTCATAGGGTACATGACATGCGTATAAACTCTTCAAGGGTTTATAGGAAAAAAAATCAAGGGAAAGCGTTCATTATTCTGCCCTTTTGTTTTACAGTGTAGAGTGCTCTAAGATTGTTGTCATTTCTCATGACATACCATGTGTTTGTGAAAGAGTCCTAAATAGTGGTCGTTGTCATTTCTGATGACGTACCATGTGAGTGGTTTTCAATTGATGGTATGTTCTCTATTTTAGGTGTTGCTTTCGTTCTTTATTTTTATTTTTATTTGCATTTTCGTGTTTTTTAGTTGTTCCGGTTGGATCGTTTTGCTGAGCTGATGATGGATAATATGAAGCTGTGTTGATTGATATGATATTCTAGTTAAACTTTATTTTGCTTTTGACGCTTTATTTGAGTTAGGGGAATCAGATTGGCTTATGTATTCGAATTATTCTTGCAGTTTGTGTCTACATTTAGGAGTTTAGTTTTCTTCTTTGTCATTAGTTTTAAATAAAAGTTCAACTTCACGTCGCATGAGTTAGTCCTGTTTTCATTGAGCTACTATGTGAAGTAATGATATTTTTCTGCCGCGTAACAATTGGATACTAAGATGAAAGTATTAAATGATTATTTTTATTCCTGTGCGAAAACATTGAAAGTAGCTTTAAATAATACAATGTAGATGTTAAACCGATACCCCGTCATTCACTATCGTTTATAACTATGAGTAACTATTCCAGAGCAATACTTTTTGTTTTGGTCTTTTATGGGGATGCAAGTTACAATTAATTTTTATCTGACTTATATAAACTACACATTAAATTTTGTTCCTTCTCTTCTTTAGACTGTGTTGAGATCGATCAAGAACAATCCGAATCTGAAATTATTGTAAGTGAGCACTGAAATAAATAATGTTTTCTTTTCGTTTCAACGCTGCAAGTTGGAATTATATGCACCGCAATTAATTTTATTTTCGTTTATCTAACATGAGTTAATTATATATTCATTTTTTGTTCTCTTCTATTTTTGGGAATGTGTTGGTCATCGATCAAGAACAATCAATCTACAATAACTATAAGTATGCATTCAATATTTTATTTTGGCTTCAGAGGTGCAAGTGGGAACTATTCAAAGTACAATCATTTTATTTTACTTTTCATAAATGAAATTTTTCTCTGCTTTAGAATGTGTTCGGGTATCGATGAAGAATAATCAATCTGAAATAACTCTAGATAAGTATTCCAATAAATATTATTTTCATTTCTTTTCAGAGGTGCAACTGGGAATTATACAAATTAGTATGTTGATATTTTCGTTTATCTAATATGAATTAGTTACATATATTTGCTTATTTTTCTTTTCTTGTTT